CAAGTGTGATTTTCTGCAATCCCCTGAAGTTCACGTACACCGCCTCCCAAGTTTCCCTTGAAACAAGCTGCCGTGCCAGGAGCTCCCTGAAGAGCTGGTGCCTTCGGGGTCCTGTGCAAGCCCACCTTCCTCTGACTTCAGAGCCACGCGAAAGGAATCATTACTGGGCCCAGCCACTGACAGATTCACAAGTTTTTGGGGAGACAGACATGGGTCTATTGTTCAGCATAAGGATGGGACAATAAGCATCAAAGGGGCTCTGCTGTCCAGTCCATGGGCAGAGGACACGCTGATAACCATTAGCAGAGCCTTCCAAGTGCTAGGATAAGAAACATAATGTAGTTGTTCTGTCCCAAGGAGACGCACTTGTACTTGGAGGACAGCTTGACCTGAAAGTCCAGAAAATCAGTGAACACCTATGCAAGCCTCATCCGAGGATGGTTTTACTGAATGCAGCCAGGCATTGCCTTAAAGAGTCAGCAGCTACATGGAATGGACGGGCCAGCATGAATTTATTGAGAAGGCTCACATATTTTTGTTGTACGTTTATCTTAGAAATGTCCTAATTTCATGTCTGCTGCTATCTCTCCATTCACATCAGAAGCTCAGTGGTCCCCTTTTAGCCACAGGAAGTGAAATGATATGCCCAGGAAACCCCTCACCAACCCCCTCCCTGGCTCAGACCCTTCTCAAACCTAGCCTGGCAATAAAAGGCCCCTATGTTTTCAACCAAGCAACACCCGAGAGATGTTGAAATTGGAGTGACTTTGAAACCGGAGTGGAGGAAGTTCCTGTGGCCAAGCTGCTGGCCATTCCAGTCTCCTGCACGTGATGAGACGTGATCATCCAGAAATCTGAACCAGAGTGCAGAGAAGGTGGGCAGAGTCTTTGCTGCCCCCAGAGGGACTCTAGGGTGCTACTCTCAGAGTTCACAACACTCTCTTCTCCCGCACAAACCACCCTGTAAGACTGAGGGCAACCCTCTGGGAATGAGTGAGCAGGCATTCCTCTACTCAGAAAGCAACACTGAGCACGTCATCACTTGGCCATGTCTCATTCTTCCAAGCTAGAGGCAGTGGTTTAAAACCCGCTCTCTAAGCACAGGGCCCAGGAGAATCATGCACATGTATTATGATAATGTAAAGCAAACTGTGAAATGTGACATTATTGCTGTGACCAAACTATGAAGTTTCTCCTTCAGTTTATTACAATTAATAAACGGCTGTAAAAGAATTAAGGTATTTTGTAGGAAAAGTGCAGTAGATTAAAATCTTTCCCATAGATTTAAGATTGGGAACCTGTAATAAAATTGAGCCAGATATTTTTTCTGCAAACCCAAGGAATCCCTTTGAGAGTCCCTTACTGATACTGTGGGTGGCATTTTACTAACTTGGTCACTGGGTCCCACTACAAAGTCCCTCTCTTCAACCTTGGATGGCCTTCCTCTGCTTCTGGTTGATTTGTACTTGATGCCTCTCACACCCTCACAGCCCAAGTCTTTTCCTCTGTTACATGCCTTTTCCTCCCCACAGGTAATCCAGTCATCTCCTTCACTGGGACTGAAGGGAACTGACTAGAACCTTCCAAGTCCTGCCCTCCACTCCCACTGTGTCCATCCACATTTCTTCCCCAGCGTGTAATAGGTGTCTTTTCACACTGCCAAGGCTAACCCTTCCAACGGTACCCTTGATTCTTTTTCCTCTGCCTCCTTGGGTACCTTACCCCATCATAAAACCATCACCCCTTCCCCCCTCAGTCTCATCCTCTCTGCAGACAGGTGCACATACACCCTGGAAAACCTCTCCTCAAGTCAGGGAGTTCTCGCCCTCCCTCCATTTGTCACCAATATTCTTGAAAGGATTCTCCATTGATTTACTAAATATTCATTGAGCTCCTTCTACTTTGTGGCAAGCATTGTGTTAGATATTAGGGAGCTAGCAAAGATTAAATGGTTCCTCCCTCTAGTAAAGGAAATAAGAGCCCTTCCACCAAAGAAAGAGACAGTGAACTACCACTAATGCCAAGTGCTCTTAAGAAACAAGGATCTGAAATTGACATGAACAGAGGTTCCATGATAGATGAAGTGGGCAGAGAAGGCCTCCCTGCTGTTGGGGTCTTTTGGAGAAGATCTGAAGGATGAGAAAGAACCTGGGAAAGAGGGCGGAGAAGAACAATTCTGGCTGAGGGAATAGGATGTGCAGAGGCCCTGAGGCAGAAATACACTGGCCTGTTTGAGCATCTGAAAGGACGCTGTGATTAAAGGGTAGTGAGCAAGGGGGAAATCAGGATGTTCTTGCGGAGGTAGGCAGAGACCTGAACATGTAGGCCATAGTTAGGAGCTTAGAATTTATTCTGAATTCAATAAGTAGCCACTGAAGGGTTTTTCGAAAACAACAAGAAAATGATACCCCTTGCAGGTGTGTGGAGAAGGAATTGGAAAGAGGCAAGAGCAAAGACAGAGCAATTAAGAGGCTGCAGTAGCAGCCTGCTCTACTGTGGTGGCAGTGAAGACAGAGTTAAGGACATGAGTATGCAATATCTTTGGGAGATAGAAACAATGGGTCTTGCTGACATATTCAGCAAGAGGAGTGAGGGAAGGAGCAATTAGGATGACTCTGAGGCTTCTGACATGAGCAACTGGGTAAATGGTGGTACTCTGAATTAGGATGAAAGGGGAAACATTTGGGGAGTAATGGGTTGGAAAGAAACAAGAGTTCTTTTAAACATGCTAAGTTTAAATGACTGTGCAACATCCAAAAAGAAAACAATCAAGTGCAGATTTGTGAACCTGGAGTTCAGAAGAGTGGTCTGGCCTGGAAGTATAAATTTGGTGTGTTCAGCGTTAACATAGTATTTAAATCCATGAGAGCATTTAAGATCACCTGGGAATGGGAGAGGAGGGTATGGAAGAGAAAGGAAAGTTAGAGGAAAATATAATTTTAAAAAACAGAAAAAGACCCAGAAACAACCCTCAAGAATCCAAGATTCAAGGGTTGACTAAATTAGGGGGAGCCACGTAAGAGGAGCCACCAAAGATATAAAGGGAAAACCAGAGAAGTGAGGAGAGGAGAGAGAGTCTAGGAAGGGGTGGTCAGCTGAATGGAATGCTTCTGAAAAGTCTGGCATCATGGAGTTTACCTCCCTCTACTGTTTCTGCCTCTAAAAATGTTAACCCTCCTTCAAAGCCCAGGTAAGATGACGTGACCACAGCAACCACTTAGTTAAAAATCACTAGTCTATCTCTGTATCAATATCTTTTCTCAGTCCTCATTCCCCTTGTTATCTATGAGCTGTGACATCAGGGATCACCTGGTCCTTTGTGAAACTCCTCTCCATTAAGTTTACATTTCTATTACTCACTTTTAGTTCTCCTGTTTTTTTAAAAAAAAAAATTCTTCTTTTATTTTACTTTCCCTTAAATGTCTGTGTTTCCTGAGGTGTCTTTGGGCCCCTTCTTTGAATGCTTTGCAATCTCCTTTATTCACAGAACTTCAATAATCACCTTGTGCCTGAATCCAAAACCCAAATCTCATGCCAACCCCAATAATCTCTCTCTCAAGACTCAAGCTTTCAATCTCAATTTCCTGCTCAGCATGTCTAGATCAGCATCACACTGACATTTTTAAAACCCTTTCTTGCAAAACCAAACTCTTCACCTTTGCTCCAAAGCTTTTTCTTCCTCATTATTATATTTTTATTTATGGTACAACTACCTTCCCCTTGAAATTGTCAAGCCCTTGTTCACTTAGTCTTCCCCTTCATCCCAGGCAGTCAATAAATGTATTCCTATTGAACTTCCTAAACACATCTCTTCCTCCTCCACTCCCATAGAGTCCCACTGCCACTGTTCCAGTCCCCTTGCCCTTCATTCTGCCAGATCTTGCAGAACCGCATAGGCACTGGAGAGGAGCTGAGACTGTTCTAAGGGGCATGGGAAGCCTCTGGGCAGTTGACCATGAGAGAGACAAAGGCACTCCCTGGTCTGGTTATTCTCCCCTTTCACTAATCCTCTTCAGACCTACCTGAACAACTGAACAACTTATGGTTTCCAGATCCTACCCTATTTCTTCTCATTACTGTACAGCTGGTCACCCTCACCCAGATCACCCTCTTTATCATTTCTGCCTCTCAAAATATTGGTCCTGTCCTGGCTAGTGTGGCTTAGTTGATGGAATGTCATCCCATGCACCAAAATGTTGCTGGTTCAATTCCCAGTCAGGGCACATGCCCAGGTTTCAGGCTCGATCCCCAGTAGGGGATATGCAGGAGGCAGCCCATTGATATGTCTCTCTCACATCAATGTTTCTCTCTCCTTCTCCCTTCCTCTCTCTCCAAAACATTATATATATATATATATATATATATACTACAAAAGACCCACCTCAGAACAAGGAAATAACACAGGCTGCCCAAGCTGGTAATCATCTGTTCTCTGAATTCCCATGGCAGATTAACTGTGCATCCATAATAATACCTGTCTTGCTTTTTTGTTTTAATGATTTTTGTGTGACATGTCTCCCCTCTTATGCCGTAAATATCTCTGGACAAGAACTATGTACCGCTTGTTTTTGTTCCACTACAAATCATAGCACGTACCTTGCATGCACCAGACCTTTAGGAAATGTCTTCCAAGGTAATAAATGAACAGCCATAATTGACATAAATTATTGTTTTGTGTACTGAATCAGTCCTAAATCCGCGGTGCTATCATTTCTGTATCACTGATGGTTATCCACTCACTTAAATAACCTTTCTTTGAATGCACTTAGAAAAGATGGAAAACTGTGTTATAAAGTAGGAACAAGTATGTAGGTTATTCCCTATCTTAAACAAAGAGAAGTTCTGTTATGCGTCATGGAAAATTAAAGCACAGTAATAAAATGAGCCAACAAGATTTGTTGAATACTGATTTAGTGGAAACGTTGCTTTGCCTCCTGTTCATAAGTCCTGACTTTCCTCTCACGTACTTAAGCTGCACGTTCTATTTATTTTGTTTTTAGATTACATTGACAACGATTGGCTATGGAGACAAAACTCCCCTAACTTGGCTGGGAAGATTGCTTTCTGCAGGCTTTGCGCTCCTTGGCATTTCTTTCTTTGCACTTCCTGCCGTGAGTATCTTCGCAAAAATAAAGCAGTTTAAATTCGATCTTAGAGGTTTGTTAGTATGAGCTTTCACAAATTGATATGCCCAGGAACATATCTATATCGTATACAAATATAATTTTTCTGATATAATGTTGAGTTTTCTACATATATCCATGTGGACAATGTATAAAATATCGTCTTCTCTTGGAGATGCTTAACCTGGGAGTTTTTATACCAGCTAGGTCTCTATGACCAAATAACAATTCAGATAGCATCACCTCTCAGTCCACATGCTACTAATACATTTAGAAGATTTGTGAAGACCGAAAGATTTCTTTTTAAACCGATGGTTCCAATTTGGTTTATACTGTGTGCTACTGAAGAGGAGGGTGTGCACAAGTGGAGTACTTACTTCTCCCAGTCCATTTGTGTGAAAATCATATGACCTTAAAGGGTTTTCATTATATCAGATGATTTATTCTCTGTGTCATCATCATTGATTTTTCATAATGAGCAGTTTCTGCATCTTATCAGAATGGAGAACACATTTATCTTCTCCCAAGTTTCTGATTATTTTCTCCTTAATGGATGAAGCTTGTCTTTCTGACCATTGTGTCTCCTCTTATTTCCTTAAAGGAAATTGGTCAAGATATTACAATCTGCCTCCATCCACAAGCTCTCACTTCTTTCATGTCACCCCTCATGGGGGGAACAGAGCCAACAAAAAGGAGTTTTTAAAGGAGTGGCAGCAGTCATGCTTAAGGAAAAATAGCCCCAGTTTCACTTCAGACATGAGCTGACTCATCACAGTCTCTGCCTAGCAGAGACCCAGGGCACCCCTCCAAGGGAAGCCAGGGGAGTGGGGATTTTCAACACCATGGCCTTGAGCTCATGGGCTCCTTCTGTGCCTGTGAACCAGCGCAGAGGGGCTTGTCCTTCCCATGGCCACTGCCAACTCCAGATCGCCCAGCTGGTTCTGCGCAGACCACACAGAGTCACAGAGTAGACACTGGAAGACCATGCAGAAGCTTGAGCAGGAGACCTCACTTTGAATTCTAGTTTTGTCAGGAACGACCTCTGTGACTGTTCCAGTTCTCTAGGGCTGCTGTAAGAGAGCATCACAGACTGGGTGGTTTAATCAGCAGAAATGCATCATCTCACAGTTCTGGAGGCTAGAAGTCCAGAATCAAAAAGATGGCCACATTGGTTCTTTTTGAGGGCAGGAGAGAAGAATGCTGGCCTCTCCTTGGTTTGTGGATAGCCATCTTCTCCCTGAGTCTTTACATTGTCTTTCTCCCTACATCTCTGTCCCAATCTTTTAAGAACGCCAGTCTTACTGAATAAGGACCCACCCCAATGACCTCATTGTAACCTGATTACCTCTGAAAAGACCTTGTCTCCAAACAGAGTCAGCATCTGAAATAGTAGGGATTAGGTTTCCAACATATGAATTTTGGAGGGAAGCCATTCTGCCCATAGCAATAACCTTGAGTACATTTATTCATCTATATAATGGAGAAAGAATTATTATACCCTGAGAAATTTTGTGAAGACCTATGTGATAACGTCAGTCCAGTGCTTTTCATAAAAAAAAAAAATTTCCTATATGAATCCAGATGAATGTTTCCTGTTGTGAAATGAAAAAAAAAAAAATCAAGGAGAGTAAAAACAGCATCTGACTTATCCAGAGTCAACTTACCTGTTTACCTCAACAGTTTAGAGCAGAGCAACAATTTGCTCAATAATCAGATTTCCGACAGGAAAAACCTGTAAATAAAATGCAGTCTTGGGCTTTTTCCCCAAAATAATGGCACAAAATGCCTGCTGCTTTTGTGTTTATACTTGACCTGGGGCCACATGTGTAACAACTCTGATCCAGTGAAAACCTACAAATACGGAAGTGGGCAACTTCTGTGCTGTTAGAATCAACAACAGTGTATGTGCTGTCCTCATCAGCGAGCCTCTTAAGAGCTACGCATGAACTTTTCTTAACTTAGAGGAAAACTTGATAGTTTCACAATTCCTTGAAGATTATAAACAGCAAATGAAAAGGTAGGCTGCTAGAACAAACAGGAAGAGATGGTGAAAGACTAACAAGGGAAGGAATAGAAAATCTGTAGGAAGCAAGCAGACCTAAGTGTTCCAATTGTAAAAAGACCAGGGCCCAATTAGTGTTAGGGTCACCACACCTCCAGGACCTGGTTGCATCTGTCAGAGAGATAGCAGGTCCCCAACATGAAACTCTGAGCTATGTCTCTTTGGTCATCAACATCAACATTGATCAGCTGTCTCCTGCACACCCCTACTGAGGATCTAGCCCGAAACCGGGGCATGTGCCCTGACTGGAATCCAACCGCTGACTCCAACCGGTGACCTCTTGGTGCATTGGTCCATTCTCAACCACTGAACCACACCAGCCAGGATCTTATATATTTAATGAAAGACTAAATTGTTCATATATACCTTAAAAAAAAACAAGGTGACTGGAATTGCCACTATGTCTATGCACTCACTGGCCAACATGTTGTCTGAGATTTAGGATAGTGCATTGGCATTTTGCTATGAAAGTTAGAGGTGGATTGTGGGCCACCACTGTTTGGGGTTTCTCCCACCCAGGAAACCTGAGGACAAAGAAAGAGAAGAGCCTTTTCTTATCTTCCCCTCAAAGCTGAAGGACTCTCCTGCACATCACAGAGGCATACAGGTCAGCCTCTCCAAGCTCCTCTGGGAGGTTACTTTGCCTGAGGCCCACTGCCTCCCGGGGCTAACAGGCTAAGGAGCTCGCAGGGGCAGCCCCAGCTTCACCATCACCCTGAGGAACAGGGCTTCCTACCCATCAGGGCACGCCCTTCCCTCCTTCAAGGAGTGGCTTTCAGTCTAGTCTGTTCACCATGTGTGGGGTACAAGTTGGGCTCATTTAATCTGGAAGATAACAGGGATAAATATTTTTAAATGTCTACCAAAACATCTTTTCTTGCCACTTAGTATATGTATCACCTCTTGGCACAATACTAAAACTCAAAACCTAAAAATGTAAGTTATGTGATATGAGAAAATGAATTAAAACAAAACTCAATTTCTAAGAAGGTGTATTTGTTGGTGTCAATAGTTGAAGAGAAGGCACACAAATTATATATACATATGTAGGTTACATGTGAGTATACATATAAACTTACATTAATATATATACATAATAGACTTTAACACACTTCCAGTTAGGTTCACTATGTTGTAGCCTCAGGGACGCAGAAGAAGACTGGAATGGAGCCATCATGAGATGATCAGCAGACCTGGTTTAATAATAGTTGTAATGTATAGTCTGGCACAAGAGATGGGAACAAACGTTTACTATTAATGTTTCTAAGCAATACCAATAAGATTTTCAGCACATTTTAGTTTGTTTGGCAGATGTTAAGTCTGTGATTTGTAGGGCCTATTTTCATTTTTCAAGAGGGATTTAACTCTGAACCTCATACCCCCATACGAAGTGCTCCAAAATGGTAGCTATTGCTGTTAATGCAATTATCTACAAAATCAGAATTAGGCTGCATATGAGTGGTTTATATATAATACATAGTATAAATATGTGCTATAAGTTCAAATGCTTACATATTTATACTTCATGAAAATTGACATCAAAAGGAAAATAACTAGCCCTAACCGGTTTGGCTCAGTGGATAGAGCATCAACCTGTGGACTGAAGGGTCCCAGGTTCGATTCCGGTCAAGGGCATGTTGTGGACACATCCCCAGTAGGGGGTGTGCAGGAGGCAGCTGATCGATGTTTCTCTCTCATCAATGTTTCTAACTCTCTATCCCTCTCCCTTCCTCTCTGTAAAAAATCAATACAATATATATTTTCAAAAAAGGAAAATAACTAAATCTTTCCTAACTGATTTTAAATAGCAGAAAAAAATTAAAAGTTAGGATTAACTATAGTTGACCTGGATTTGAAAATGGAGGGCCATTTTTATAACCTCTAATGAAGGGAAATGTTTAAATCTAAAATCAAGGCTATATAGTCCCGGTTTTTATCAAGTTTAGTTTGTGCAATCACAAGCTATATGAGATGAAGATCTTAGCAAGAGACAGTCTCTGAAAAAGAAATGGAAAACAGAACCTATGACATAATTTCTAATTTTATGATAGTCATTTACTCTAGCTAATAATAGAGTTGATCATTGCTCATTAATAGTATTATATAACTCTATTTTAAACATGCAGTCGTCCCCCCTTTTCTGAGGTTTCACTTTCTGTGGTTTCAGTTACCAATGGTCAATCTTGATTGGAAAACATTAAATGGAAAATTCCAGAAATAAACAAGTCATAGTTTTAAATTGCATGCCGTTCTGAGTAGTGTAATGAAATCTCCTGTCCTCGTGCTTCGTCCTGCCTGGGACTTTGTCCAGCGTATCCATGCTGTAAACCTTATCCCACCCATTAGTCACTTAGTCATCTCTGTTATCAAACCAGTTATCAGACACAGAAAGACCACACTCACATAACTTATATTACAGTGTACCGTTACAATTGTTTTATTTTATTACTGTTGTTGTTAATCTCTTACTGTGCCTAATTTATGAATTAAACTTTATCGTAGGTATGTGTGAATAGAAAAAACAGTACATACAGGCTTCGGTACTATCTGTGGTTTTAGGCATCTACTGGGGGTCTTGGAACATATCCCCATGAATAACTGGGAGGACCACGATGATCACATTACTTATTATCTGGTTATTGTCACAGATGTGCCCAGAATTGTGGCTTCTCAAGATAAGAAGGAAGGTTCAAGGTTATCTAGAGTGCAAACATATCTTAGCCAAGTCTCATCCCTCTGAGACTTACCACCTCCTAAAGAAGAGAAACCCACCACCTCCCAGGCAGCCAATACCATCTTGGAGCTTCTTTGAAGAAATAAAGAAAAGAAAAACAACCATTCCTTATCTGTGGTGAATACTGACATAGCGCTTATCAGATACCCATCTCTCACCAAAGGGTTAGGCTCCTTGAAGTTTAATAAAAAGCTAATAATTTATAGCTAGCAAGTAACATCCACAGACTTGAAAGCAGTGATGCTCCATGTCCCATGGCAATAAACTGGAGACTTACAAAGCCCGGAGCCTGGATTTAGCAAGCTCTGAAAGCCAGCACGGGGCTGACACACGGCATCTTGAGTCCACAGTGTTAGACCAAAGCAAAGTGAGAAGAGGGGAGCATTTCAAAGAGCCAGAACTTTGGCAGATGGAGATGATACACAAGCAAGCCAGGCCAAAAATTAACATAAACATAAGAGGGACATACTAATCTTACCAACCCCAACATCTGAATAGGTGAGCCAAGACCAAAAAGTAAGGAATGCCAAAAGTGTGAGATTAAAACTCAGAGAAACAGGAATGTGCTTTGCAATAATAACCCATGTTCTTGTCTTTATTGTACAAACAGGCAAAATGGAAAACCTCCTACGTCTTGAAAACTGAGTGTTTGTTTGTCTCACCTGAAAAACTGTCCTCCCCTCCCCTTTCACTTTATTTTGGTAGGTGTAGACTTATAACATTATGAGAACTAAATGGGGACAGATTTTAAACATTCTCCACACACACACCCCATTTCACAAATAGAAAATTCAGTTATTTCACCGAAGTGCTAGAAACACTCCCATGTCCACAGCAGCAAGACTTTAACTCTTCCAAATTTCATATCCACCTCTATTCAAAAGCAAAATTCACGCCCTCCACATTCCACCACTGGGTAGGACCATTTACTCTAACTTAGGCAGAAAGAAATGTTAGAGAGGGCACACAAAAGACATTTTTTAATGGTGATTTTTATTTGTAATTAGAGTGCCTCTACCATATCATAAGAGACAATTACTGGCAATGCCTGGTTGATTTACTAAAGAATGGAAGTTATTATATTTCTAGGCAGTCTTGCCCAACAACTCGCCATTGGCCACTGGTATTATAATAGAAGTGAATAGTGTTTGTGTTAATAAGTTTGTTTTAATATTTCTGGACAGGTTGCATACATACTGTGTCTTTTCTCGGCCTCTTTTTAGAAGTTGTGTTTTTGTGTGTGTGTTTTAATTTTTAAGAGTGCTATTGGGGAAAAAAAAAACTTGAGTGTTATTTTTGTGTTTTGTTCCAGGGCATTCTTGGCTCAGGTTTTGCATTAAAAGTACAAGAACAGCACCGCCAGAAACACTTTGAGAAAAGAAGGAACCCAGCTGCCAACCTCATTCAGGTAAATGTCAATGTAATAGGTAGATGGCAACATCTGTCTTCATAAGTGCTTGCTGTGTCATTTTCCAATCTCTGTGCTCCATTGCTTTCAAGCTACTGTTTTGGGGTGTGTGTGTGTGTGTGTGTGTGTGTGTGTGTGTGTGTGTGTGTTTAATGAAGCTGAACTTAACGTACAGTATTAGATTTGAGCAAGTGCCGCCCATCCCAAACAGAAAAATAATATATATTTTCAGTAAATGGTCCATGTGTTGTTCGGGTTAATTAGCCGTGCCAGCAAGGCCATGTAGAGGTTAGCAGCTGTGTTGCTCCTGGAATAACCTAATATGTCTTATAAATTACTTGGTGACATATAATTGATCATTAAGTGATGGAGCAGAACATGGATTTGTTCCCTGCATTACAAGTACTTTCTCCAGCCGAATGGATGCCACTGATCTGCAGAACAATGTATTTGTTTAGAATGTCAAGGGTTAGTACCTGTACGATCATTTTCAATGCCATCTAGAGCAATTACTTGAAATAGTTATTTTTAAGAGCTGGTGGGATTATGGAATACATAAGTGTTTGAGAATGTGAAAATCATTAGCATATTATTTGAAAGCTAACTCATAACAATATATAGTTTAACTTTGTGTGTGTGTGTGTGTGTGTGTGTGTGTGTAACTCAGGATTTGCTTCAGTACTAAAAGAAACCCTCATCCTTCGCCATCCATATCTTTTGGGCATAGCACCATCCTAGAACCAAGTTGTTTAAGAATCACAAAATATACTTTTTATAGATCCACAAGATGGATTTGGTATTGAATTATGGACACAATGATTATACAATCTAGTTTCCTCCCTCCTTGCCAGCCAGTGGGAGGTCCAGAACTCCTAACTAAGGGGTTTGGGCTGGTGAGCTGAGGTGCTAGGAGACTTGTCTTCATGCCGGAGTAACATGCACATTGTTTTCATTTAGATTGTGGGTTTAAGTGGGTGGGTGGCGGGATGGGGGAACCATTACACGACCCTACCCTTAGCCTTTCCCTGTGGCCATGATATGAAGTACCGCCAACAGAAATGGACCACGAGGAAAAAGTGGGTGAGCGTGGCTCAGTTACATTATGAAAGAGATCTTTGTTTTGTATCTGATGATTAAATGAGGATATTAATTTTTAAGTCAAGCTATTCTGCAACTATTGACAAGGAAATTGGCCATTGGGCATGACTCCTAATATGAACCACTGAGAGTCTCTATTTTTTTAAGAATGTCTAGGTTTTAAAAGAGCACTAAAGATAAAGTAAGCTTTGTTTGCTTGAAGGAAAAAAATCCCTAAGTGGTAGGAGTTTAAGATCTAAAGCCAAATGATGACAGAGGTGTCACAGACTCTAGTGAACGCACAGCTGCCCCCAGCACTGATAGCCCTCCATCATCTGATTCTTCTCAACTCGTTGTGAAGGCATCTCCATACTTCAAAAGAACTTCTCCTTACTGTTTTTATCTCTTCATTATCCTTGCGTCTATTTCTTCTTTTTTAATTTCAGAACAATGTTTTCCAATCTGTGAATATAGAAGTTATTTCATAGATTCCTTGTGATGACATAGAGCTGTGCTGCCCAGTGCAGTGACCACGAGCTGTATGTGCTATTTAAGTTTAGAAAGCCAATCCCTCAATGACACTAGCCACATTCCAAGTGTGCGATAACCATACGTGACTATTGGCCATTGTATTGCACAAGGCAGATACCAAGACGAATAGGAGGACCTTTCCTAATCTAACTTATCATTATCAACCACCAAATTGTGCAGAAACAATTTCCAACTGCACTTGAAAATAGACTACCACTCCTGCAGCAAATCATTGGACCAAAGACCAAAGACATAAAGACATTTATGTCTCCACAGCCATAGCAAGGCAAGGCCTTCCTCTTACATGGATGAGAGGCTGACTGAACAGTTTTGCCTGAAGACCTAAAAGTATATTTTATGGAATTCTGTTATGTAAACATTGTGATCAATAATTGAACTTGTACAAATGTTGGGTAGCACTAGAGCGAAACCACTAATATTTCGTTTACTTAGAACTTTAGCTCATGTGTTGTTCTGAACAAAACAAACAAAAACAAGACTGTAGCCCTAGCTATAGAGTGTAACCCCGTGGACTGAAGGGTCCCAGGTTCAATTCTGGTCAAGGGCATGTACCTTGGTTGCAGGCTCTATCCCCAGCCCTGGGTGTATACAGGAGGCAACAAATCTACGTGTCTCTCTCACATCAATATCTCTCTCCCTTTCCCTCTCCCTCTCCCTCTCTTCCTCTCCTTCTCCCTCTCTCCCTCTCCCTTCCACTCTCTCCAAAAACCAATGGAAAAGTATCCTTGAGTGAGGATAAATGAAAGGCTTAAACCTTCATCAGTGTGGCTTGGTTGGTTGGAAAATTGTCCCATGCACCAAAGGATAGAGGGTTTGATTCCCCATCAGGACACACACCTGAGTTGCAGGTTCAATTCCCAATCGGGGGCACGTGTGGGAGACAATGGATCAATGTTTCTCTCTCACATTGATATCTCTCTCTCTATCTCTATCTCTCTCTCTCCCTCCCTCCCTCCCTCCTTCCCTCCCTTCAATCTCAATCTCTTCTTCTCCCCTCCCTCTCAATCTCAATCTCTCCCTCCTCCCCCTCTGCCCTCTCCCTTTCTCTCTTTCTAGAATCAATGGAAACATATCCTCAGGTGAGGATTAAAAGGGAAAGGGGAAAAAAAGACTTGAAACACTCAAGAACACTTTAAAATCTAATCATAGTTTCAGTAATCAAAGTAGGATCTACTAATTTAAAAAGCAATTGTTTCCCCATCCAAATGCTATTAATTTATTTATTAGCCATAAGAATAATAATATAATTAAATGTATTCACTGTTCTTTCTTGATGGCCCTTAGCCAGACAGAATTCAGGGCTTTAAACCTTGGTTATATATATTAGAAATTTATTTTCAAGGATGCACTAGATTGAAAAGCAAGCATCATTTGCTGATCCATTTATTTTCTTACCCAATAAACCTGCCTTGGTTTGCTGAACACACAAGGCATCAAGCTCAAGAGCAATCTCATTAGTGTTAAGCCAGAGCAACTATCTTTCTAAAAGGGCACTGAAATGCCCAAATTGCCTTGTCATTTGGTTGGCGAGGCAACTAAATTAACCAGCATTTCCGGGTTTTAGGGAAAAGTTTAAAAACCACCCCTGCAGCTTTGCAGCAAATTTAGCTGTGTTAATATCTTTGCATGATTCATTTAAATTAACTTTTTATTTCAAATGTAGCAATCTGGGAAAATAAATCAGCTCTCACCAACATTTTGAATACCTGCCCAAATGTCACAACTTTTAATAATACCTAAGACTTGTGATGTGCTTTTTAGTTGGCAGAATGTTTCTATACATTAAGTCACTTGATCTTAAGGGCAAGCCTAGGAAGAGCTAGGACTCTAATCCCTGGTGTCTGAACTTGAATCCATTACTCCTTTCAAAGAGCAGCAGTTGCATCATCACATATGTATTTACTACTGACCCAGTGCATGGATCTGTACACATTGAAAGAAAATTAATTAGAAGGTGGCTGGCGGGGCAGGACTGGGCGAGATGGGCCGGACACGCCCTGGAGTCAACCTTCCATGGTCCCTCCCCAGTGTCTGCACAGTGAGCGGGGTCCCTCTGGCAGGTGGAGTCCCTCGGCCTGGCCTGCAGAGATCAGGCCGAAACTGGCTCTTTGACATCCCCCGAGGGGTCCCAGAATGCGAGATGGCACTCTGCAAAGTTGCTGTGGTACAGAGTGTGGAACGCAAACACAAGTGTGCAGTATACCAGATTCAGGGCCAGTAGTGCCCCAGCAATGATATAACCCATGGCCAAAGGTGGAATTGCACGGCCCTGTGAGGAATTGGGCTCCCTCCTCTCTGGTTTCAGGGTGCGTCACCCAAGAACCTCCGCTGCCAAGTCACTGCAGCTCGGAAGCTCCTGCATTGAGTGTCTTCCCCCTGGTGGTCAGTGCATGTCATAGCGACCAGTCAGACAGTCAGACATTTAGTATATTAGCCTTTTATATATATATAGGTTATGGAAGCCTTGAGATTAGCATTTAAAGGTACTTCAAAGTCCTATGTTACAGGTTCACTTCTGGAGAGATTAGGCCAGTTCAGGTGAAACCAAGATGCTTTCATGGAAACAGAAATGGGGAAATTAAGTGAAAGTTTATGAAATAATGCTGAATGATGGGCTTATTTTCTTGAAAGGAAGAGATTAGAAGATGCTGCTATGGAGAAGCTAACTGGCCCAAAAAGAAAAAGAAAGAAAAATTCATCTATTATCTATCTAGGAACTGTGGCTTTAACTAATAAAATAACTGAGTTTGCACCCAGTTACCTTAGAGTGAGGCCACCAGTCAATAAACTCAAACCACTTATATGGAGCTTATATATCTTTTTAGTGCTTCAGTCATAAATAAGAACAGATTTAGAAAAACATCATAGTCATGAAAAATGTGACAGAAGAATAAAATAAAGCAAAGAAGAGATAAAGTTGTGGAAATCTCCTAGAAAGAAGAATGAAAACAGAGATGGAAAATTGGATGACCCTTCCAGGGGTATATCAAAGTAATGAGTATCTCAAAAAAAGAGTACAGGAAAACTAAGGGGAGGATATTGTATTATTACTAGAGGTCTGGTGCACGAATTTGTGCATGGGTGGGGTCCCTCAGCCTTGCCTGCGATCCGGGCCAATTGGGGCCATCTTGCCCAGTTCTGATTGGGGCCAGTGGGGGCCAGCCAGCAAGGGGAGGGACCACAGGAGGGCTCCAGGGCATGCCCGGCCTTCTTGCCCAATTTTGATCCACCAGACACCAGCAGCAAGCTAACCTACTGAGCAGAGCCCTGCCCCCTGGTGGTCAGTGCACATCATAGCAACTGGTCTACCGGTCAACTGAACAGTCAACCAATTGGTCGGACATTTAGCATATTAGGCTTTTTTATATAGG